CACTGTATGGGCACCTATACCTGTTTACAAACACACACACACAAACATACACATATATACTTAGACTGTATGGGCACCTATACCTGTTTACACACACGTAGACTGTATGGGCACCTATATCTGTTTACACACACATGTCTACTTAGACTGTATGTGCACTTATACCTGTTCACACACACATGTCTACTTAGACTGTATGTGCACTTATACCTGTTCACACACATACACATATACTCTACAGGCTGTGTCCGAATGCTCAGCTTTCTTCTGAGTTTGTGTCACCTCGATATTATACTCCCAAGATCTGCACATTTTCCTGCAAATTTCCTAGTTCTTTTTTCTGGATAACAGTCTGGGCTGTGTACACACCACATTTGCATTACCAGCATCTGCTTCCATTTCCCTTTCGACATAAATAAAGCAGCAATAAACACTGGCGTGCGAATATCTCTACGGGCAGTCAGGGACACTAAGTATACACCCAGGAGCAGCAGAGCTGGGTCAGATGGCAGGTCTGCTTTTCCTTTCCTTTTCTTCCTTCCTTCCTTCCTTCCTTCCTTCCTTCCTTCCTTCCTTCCTTTCTTTCTTTCTTTCTTTTGGAATCTCCCAACAGATTTCCACTGACTGCATTAATCTCTACTCCCACCAAGTTTTATAATCTGAAATTCTTCCTTTTTTTCTCCTGTTTAAATCTTTATCAGATCAGTTCATTGTGGTGTTATTTAATATGTGAACTGTATTATTTTACACAACGTGTTTTTTAAAAATTAAATAAATTTGTTTTAAATGGAGACGTCAGGACTACCTCACAGGATTGCCTTGGTCAGGAACACAACAAGCCATGTGACTTGGTACGGGAACCCTGCAACTTTTTTTTTCAAATTCATTTTATTTTATGGTTGCTTGGCCTGCACGTATGTCAGTGCACCACAAGCGTGCCTGGTGCCTGTGGAGTCAGAAGAGGACAACAGCTCCCCCAGTTAGGGAGTTAAGGATGGTGTGGGTGATGGGAACTGAACCCAGGACCTCAACAAGAGCATCCACCACTCTTAACCACTGACCCATCTCTTTAGCCTTGGGACCACGAGCTCTAAAAGCTAACGAGAACCATTATTCTACCTCGCTGTCATTTGATGTTCAAGAGAAATCGCATTCTTTTGAGGGGAAGACACACTCAGCATTGTCAGCCAGGGTGCCTGTTTGAAACTTGGCTTCTGTGAGGTTGCATTCCCAGGCCCCAGATGACCGCCGGCGCTCCCAGTGACCTTAGCAGCCGGTCCATGCAAGCCTCAAAGAACAGTGTCTGCCTAGCCATCTCCAGACCTCAGCTAAGGCTCAACACGTACTTGCTGAGATGAGTGTTTACAGCAAGGAATTTGAAGGGATTCTTGTTTTCCAGCCTTAACTGCCACGCGCTTGTTCCCTCGCGGAAAAGGTTACATGTGTTGACTGCCGGACAAGGGCCGCAGACTCCTCAGGTTTACAGCCCTTTTCCAAGAGCTGCAGCTCAGCGCTGGGCAGCAGGGTGCTGTTCGTTTACTTCTCCCTCTAGCCAGGAGTTCAACCCAGCTTAGATTGAGAAACCAAACTCCCAGTGGGTGCCTGCTTAGCATTCAAAAGGCCACAGGTTCAATGCCTAGCACCACAATAAATAAAATAAAAAGAGCAAGAAACAGCCCAAATCTCTGCTCTGCCTCTTAACTTCTGCCTGAAGCCCGTGAGCTGCCTCACGCCTCACAGGTGGCGGTGACCTGAAGGGACTCATCACTGCGGCCCAGTGACAAACATTAATCGACATTTAGGAAGGGGTGTGTCTCCCTATGCGTTCTGAAGGATCATCTGAGAGTTTGATGTCTGAATTTTTGGATCCTTTTCAAGAGAGAAATCATCTTTAAAGCCAAGTGGAGACGATGAAGTGACTTCACATCTGAACGCAAGAGGCAGATAGCTCACTGGGTGGAGTAAATGAGAGCTGAGGTGAGTCACACGGTCCCGGGGATGGGATATAATTATAGCTCGTTTGGAAGCGAGCACGTACAGACGTGACCTTTATTCTCCAGCAGAGCTGCGCTAATGTCCGCTGCCACGCTGACATGGACACCAGGGGACATAAATCCAAACAGCAGCAGCCGGAGAGCAGGTCACACTCCAGGGGGTGAGGCTCTGGCCAGCGCCAGGCTTCTACTGAGCCAGCACACACCTAGAGGTCAAGGTCCCAGATGACAGTGGCCAGCTGGTCTCTACCACGCTGGTGATAACAACTTTCCATGCTGAGGTGGTGTCTCTCACACATGGTCATCCACAAGCTCCGTCTTCCTGTCTATCACAGACTCAACCCACACAACCTGTGCCCTTCTTCCCCTGCTGCTCATACTGCTTCTTGGAGATGATGGTCCCCAGGATGTGTTCATTTGTTTTTTTTCCTTAAAATGTCAGCCCTCATATTGAGCGAGGTAACCCAGAAAGACAAATATAATATGTATTCATTCATAAGTGCCTTTTATACAAAAAGAAAAAAGAAAAACAAAGAAAAACCAGCTGATGGGCCACAAACCCAGAGAAACTAGACAACCAAGAGGACCCTAAGAGAGACACATATGGATCTACAAAGGAAGGTGAAAAAGACAAGATCTCCTGAGTGCATCGGGAGCGTGGGGGTCATGGGAAAGGGTAAAAGGGGAAAGGGGAGGAAGGGAGGGGAGTGGAGAAAAATGTATAGCTCAAACAATAAAAAATGTCAGCCTTTGGGAGGCTGGGGAGGTGGCTCATGGGCAAAGCCCTTGCTTCGCCAGTATGAGGTCTGCAGTTCATTTTTGTTGGGCACCTGTAATTACAATACTCAGGAGGCAGAGACAGGGGAATCATGGGACAAGCTACCTATCTAGTCAGAATTGATTGCCAGCTCCAGGTTCAAGCAAGAGACCCCCTCAATAAATAAAGTAGATATCAATCACGGTCAATTTTGAGCCTACACACACACACACACACACACACACACACACACACACACACACGTGCGCGTGCACACACACCACTGCAAGATTCATGCAAATTATAAATGAGAAAATAAATAACAGATATAATAAAATGTCACCCTTGCCTGGTTCACTTTACTTTTAATTTGAGACAAGTAGCTGATGTGGGTCAGGGCACTTTGGGCTTCTTCCTTCCTGCCTCTACTTTCTGAGTGTTGGGATCACAGGCAGACATCGCCGTACTTGGTCTATGTGGCTAGGTATGAAACCTAGGGTTTCTTGTGATAGAGGCAGTTTGTCATTTGATATCTCTCTCTCTCTCTCTCTCTCTCTCTCTCTCTCTCTCTCTCTCATGTTTGTGTGTGTGTGTGTGATTTTGAGAAACATTCTGTGTAGTCCAGAATGGCCTCAAACTTGAATTTCTCCTGCCTCAGCTCCTGACATTCCTGGCTCTTTCATTCCCTCGAGCCTGCTTGCTCCCAGCTCAGTATAATGTCAGAACACACTGAAGTGTGCACAGTCAGCTGCTGAGGGAATACAGCCATTGGTAGACTCCGTGGGAGTCACAGATGTCCTGACCCCAAATGATAGATGACCTCTAGTGCCCTCCCCATGGTCAAGGACATCTGGTCATTACACCCAATCCAGTGTCTTCCAGAAAACCTCACCATGATTCACTCTGTGACCTGTCCAAAGTGATGCCGTGTGATATGAGAGTTCTTGGCATTATTAGTGATTAGAGAATAGCGAAGGTCATAATTATCATGTGCTCCACTATAACTACAAGTGGACATGAACTATAAGTCAGAGGTCATTCTTAGTAAAGCGAGTATGAGTGTATGTATCTCTGCGTGTGTGTTTCTGGGAACTGGACCTGGGACTGCAGTGCAGTCCTAATTATTAGTCTTATTAATAAAAACCCGGAGTCAGATATCGAGGGTGAAAGCTGAAATATCAGAGAAGCAGCTGCAGGCTCTAGAGAGACTTCTTACCTCCCCCAAATCCTCAAACCAAACGGCAGTGGTGACGGGGGACTGGTCTCCCAAGGGCAGCCCGTCCCCATGGCCTAGGTCTTTACAAAAGAATAACAAGACTAACACAGATACGTTGCTTAGGACTGAGTCCTTATTTGTCACTTAGTTTTTGCATCTTGGGCAGTCATGCATCTCTGCATTCACCTCTATTCAACTGTTAAAAAATTATTTCTAAGTAAATAATTATTTTTTTGCAGTACTCGGGATTGAACCCAGGGCCTCCTTCAGGTTAGGCACGCACTTAATACCGAGCCTCCTTAATTTTTGTTTCATTTACTTCCTAAATTACCCAAGCTGAACTTGAACTCACCATCCAGCCCCAGCAGGCCCTAAACTTGTGACTTGCCTGCCTCAGCATCCTAAGTAACACACACCTAGTGTGGTCAACCCTCTGGGCTCAGACCCCAAAACTGGGGGGAAACAAATCCTGCGCAGAGGGAGTGTTCATGAGGTGGGTGGGACAGGGAAGGGGCACAGTGAGCGAGCCACGGGGCTCAGGCACTGACCTCTTCGCCTCACCCTGCTAACAGGCCACCGCTCCCCGAATCCTCACTCGTATACCCTCAAAACATCCTGAGTGTAAATGTCACTCTCCTGGACACTCATCCCGTCCCAGCCCTGTCCCCATCCCCTCCCTGTCGCCCACAGTTTTCCTGTCCCTGAACTGTTTTTGGTACCAACACTCCATGTGTTTCTTATAATAGTGACACTAATGTCACTGCTTCGGTTTGTGTCACGCCTCTTTCAAAGACA